CGGTGGTGGCGGTGGTGGTGGTGGTGGTGGCGGCAGTGGAGGTGGAGGTGGTGGTGGAAAGTGTCATCACGTCACAAACAACTAATGACAAGCCTGTGGGGTCTTCAAGGCAAGAGACAAACTGAGGTCATTTGCCATTCCCTTTCTTCTGTGTACCAATTCTGGACTTCCTTGGTGGTCCCATCCAAATACTAACCGAGGCCCACCTTGCTTAGCTTCCAAGATCCGATTGAGATCAGGCTAGCCTGGGCCACCCAGGTCAAGGCATGAATTTGAGTAGTCCTCTTTAAAGTCATCTACGCTGGCGGCCATCACTACATCTTGGGGCAGTGAGTTCATCACTGCGACATGCGACCCTCTCACAAAGCAAGCTTGGGAAATTGCCGTTTGGAAGGAAATATAGAAGGCACTGTTTTTGATGAAGAGGTCTATTAAAGACATACAGTGTGCTACGGGAATGCTTTCGATTACTGGGGCCAAGGGACTACAGTTACCGTGACCACAGGTAAGTCTAAACGATGTTTCCTGATGTTTAACAATCTAATATTGTGGCATTTTCCACAGTTCCAACCAGAAAAGGTTAGTTTGGCAAACACAACAGAGGTTGTTAGCATCTTCTATATAACTGGGGAAGTCAACTAAATGGAATGGGGGGGAACCCTTGAGGCATGGGAACAGCCCATCTTGTAGGTTGCAGTAAAGGTTGGACTTGAACTGAGAGTCATCCAACTGTGCTACCGAGATTTTGACTACTGGGGAAAAGGAACTTTGGTGACTGTAACCTCAGGTAAGTGATTCCCTGTTTTGAACATGTTCCTTCTGGTCCTCAGTTGCTTCCTAACCCAGGCCAAAATGCTCAAAACTAGGGTGGGCAGACAAATTCCAGGACAGGGCTGCTGTACCTTTGACAGATGAGGCGATTTAGTCAAAATTCTCCCTTCCACAAAACTGTTCGGTTTACAGAAGAGCTCATCCCTGGATTATTTTTGGCTATCCCTAGCTCTGATCAAGGTCTCTGATGGGTGGCTTCAAGTATAAATTAAGGATGCAATCCCAGGTAAGGACACTTACCTAGGGTCAGCCCCAATGAATAAAATGGGACTGATGTCTGAGTAAACATGCTTAAGATTGTGTTGTCTGTGGAGTTGTGCTTGAAAGGGAGTTGCTCATGATCCAGTTGGTAAATGGAGCTTCCATAGGTAAATGGAGCTTGTCCATGCAAGGAGATTACATTTGATAGCTTAAACCTGAAGGGGGTTTAATTAAAGTGGTACAATCATCACTGACTACTGGGAAAATATACCCTTGACATGGTCAGAACAGGTTAAAAAGAACCCCTATTTTGGTGGTAGATCCAAAAGGTAATCTTAACTAGGATTTTGCATGGCTATCGGACAAAAGTTGAGTGTTGTGCTACCTCCAGTACTGGGGGAAAGGGACCCTCGTCACAGTCACATCAGGTAAAGTGCTTTATTTTCCTTCTTTGACGTTATTGAAATCTTTCACTAAACCTAATTTCTTTGAGGACAGGTGTTAAAATCGCCACCTTAAGAACAGTCTATCCTAACTGTTTACTGTTATACCACTGCCCTCCTCAGTACGAACATGATTTCAGAAGGGTGACCCCAGAAAATGTGCATTTAGGTTATTTCCTGGTGGTATTTTGACCCCAGAGGATAAATGGCGACAAATATGTTTTCATGGATCAAATGCCATTGACCAAAAATATTAGAAACTTCTGAGGTGTTCTTCCCCAGGGAGCGACCTGAATGAATATTACATTAGAATATATCATTACGTCTATTTTAGAGCTTTAAAAGGCAGTCTAAATGACTGACAATTCCCATTCGGTATCCACAGGGGGGGTATGACAGTTTTAATGTCTCTCTCTCAATGTGGGTGATGTTCCTCTATGAAGTCAAAACCCAGAATACAAAGTATTTGTAGAGTTCCAGTTAGGATGGATACAACTGTGCTAGTACGGCGATGCTTTGGATTACTGGGGCCAAGGGACAATGGTCACGGTCACTTCAGGTAAAGATTTCTTCCCTTCTGTTTGTTGTGGTTACATCAATTGGCGGTGGGGGTTTCAAGGAGAAATTACTAGGAACTTTCCCCCACTTTTCTATTGTGGTTTATTTGTGCCTCACTCAATGGTTTCTTTAGTTCATCCGTATGTCTGGCATACTATGGATTACCACTCCAATTTATTTTAGCCATCATATTGGGCAAGGAACATTGATCCGCAACTTTTGGAAGCTCTCTAGAGTCTTAGGCAAGTCCTAGGACCCCCTTGATCTAAACAGGGTCTTCCATTTAACCCTAGGGGCCATTGCATCAGTGGGTACCTTTGGGCAGAACCAATAGGAGGGAGATTTGCTGTGCTACTCGCCAGCTTTTGATAGCTGGGGATGAGGCACCCTGGTTACTGTTAGACCAGGCAAATATCTAAATTACATTCAAGTCCTCATTTCCAGCATCCATTCTTCAGTGGTTGGATGGGGGGTTGGATTCTTCGTTGAGTATTTGAACTGAGTAGCTTGGATATTAAGTGACTGTGTTACGGCTGGGGTGATTTCGATTACTGGGGACGAGGCACCTTGGTCACCGTCACATCAGGTAAATATCTCACCTTCCCGCAAGTTCTTGTTTCTAGCATGAAATGTATGGTTCTTGACTTTCTTGGGTTGGGTTCTTCCATGAATATTTGCACTGAGGAGCTTGGATGTTAGGTGAAATATTTACAACTGGGATGCTTTTGGTTACTGGGGACAAGGCACCTTGGTCACCGTCACATCAGGTAAATATTTTACCCTCCATCAAGTTCTTATTCCTAGCACAAAATGTACAGTTCTTGACTTTCTTGGGTTGGGTTTTTCCATGAGTATTTGAACTGAGGAGCTTGGATGTTAGGTGACTGTGTAACTGGGCAGCTTTCGATTACTGGGGACAAGGGACCTCGGTTACAGTCACATCAGGTAAATGTCCAATCCTTATTTCCACCATGAAATGTATGGTTCTTGACTTTCTTGGGTTGGGTTCTTCCTTGCGTATTTGAACAGAGCAGCTTGGAAAAGGTGTGACTGTGTTACTGGGAAGCTTTCGATTATTGGGGTAAAGGCACCCTCGTCACTGTCACATCAGGTAAGACTCTGCTCTTTGATCCCAGTGTTATTAATGCAAAATATAAAGAAGATTTTCTGAAAGGGGGTTTTATGGGTTTACCATTTGGGATATTTTTGTTCCAAGTGGCAGGAGCAAACCCAAAACATGAGCCTTTGCTTTAAAACCATGTGCTTGTAAGTTGCTAAATGGTGGTCAAATTGTTATTTTTGTGGTTAAAATTAAAAATTGTTCTGGTCTTTTTTCTGTACTATATCAGTGTATTTTAGTTTCATTGGAACAAATAGACATAGGCCAGATTTGATTAAAACATATTTTAAAATCTGGACTGTATTTGCTAGAAGAGAAAAAATACAATTAGTGTCTGTGTTGCAAGAAATCTCTAAGGTAGTTTACATTTAGAAGAAATTGCTAAGGTAGTTTACAGTTAGACTAAGATTGTGGCGTAATTTATAAATTAGCCTAAAATAGTGTTGCCTTTTTAAGAGAAAGGAACCAAGAAAGTATGCAGCAAAAGACACTGTCCACTAAATCAGTGAAGCCAATAGAAAAGTATTGCTATAACCTGGATACAAAATTTGAATGCATCCTACCCTGTCTTTCATTTTTTGTGGCTTGAGTTCTAAAACTCCTTGCTCGGTGGAAGTCTTGCTTCACAGGGAACTCTTAGCAGAAATGTTGTAGCCCAAAGGGTTTCGTCCTGAAATGAAACAAAGGAAATAGGTGTTTTTGCAACTGGAACGAGCTTTTTGTACGGAGGTAATATGGAATTATTCAAGTGTGCTACCCATTTGATTACTGGGGTCAGGGGACCCTGGTGACTGTGACATCAGGTAAGGATTCTTTCTAATCTAATTTGCTTAATCTCGGCACATTTTGATTTCATCTCAAGATATCTGAAATATAATTGTTGGGGCTGCTTTGAGATGAGCCGTGTGAAGTCTGCTTCCAATTTTCCTTTGCACAGAATTGTACCAAAATCTGCATCTCAAAAAGGATATCTCAACCATGAGATAACATGTTTAAAATTATTGGCACGATGTTTAAAAGGGGTTATCTCATCTAATGCTTATCTTGCCAACAAAACAGGTAAAAACCACTCTTAAGTAGCACTTATGAGTTTTACAAGTCTGTCTGTAAAGGAATATTGGGGGGAAAGTCTCTTGGTTAAAGCTGAAAAGTAAGAGGGGGAAAGATGGATAAGGAAGAGGGCAGTGTTATGCCATTAATCTGCAGTAGAAAAAAGAAAGGAAACAACTTTGAGATTTCTGCAGAAGGAAGAAATCTCATCTGTTGTTCTAACTAGTTCGATTTGGGCTGGGAAATCTAGAAAGAGATCAGAGAGATTGTTTTGGAACCAAACTGTAGGGAGTTAATTTCTTCACTGGGAAAAACACCATGTGTCCAAAACGTCTAAACAGCATGGAGGTTTTGTGCCAGATTCCTAGTTAGAAGTATCTCTGTGCAACTGGTACTTCGATTACTGGGGGAAAGGGACCATGGTGACCGTCACTTCAGGTAATTATTTTTATTCCTCAAACCCAGTTTGTTGCAGATTAACCTAGCATGAATGATTTTTTTGTTGTTGTTCCCTGCTCCATACTTCTGAATACGAGTCTTTTCTGTTCCCTTTCTGCAATCTGAGGTTTAGAAAAATCAGAAGCCTGGTGGTAGATTTCCTGTGTTTTAAGGTAAAATGCCATTTTTTAAAGGGAAACAACTCGTTCCGGGGGTCCTAAATCTGCAATTCACAACGTGTTTGAGTTAGAGAAGGCATATGAACACCAACAGGGCTGCACCAGATTATGGCCTGTAAATTTTAGTGAAACAAATGAGAGAGACAGTGAATCAGGTATGTCATGGGGGTTATTTCAAAGCTGGAAACATCAGTCCCAAGTCTAAAGACTCTTAGTTATGAATAAGTCCTCCAAAAGCCGCTCTACCTGTGCCTTGGGTTTCAGCCATAGAATGTGGGCATTTATTTCATGCTGAAAGCTGTCCAGTTCCGTACAAAAGCCGCCAGGCAGCTTTTTGTATGTTACTGAAAAGGGAGTTAACCAGTGTGATAACTGGGGACTGGACTACTGGGGACAAGGCACCCTAGTGACCGTCACATCAGGTAAAAATATGTGTATGATTGTATTCTTTTGCTTGAAACGGTATTCTTTTTTTTAATATATAAACAATCAAATTTGAAGTTTTTCCTGCTGTTGTTATCTGGCTTCCTTCAGCCCTCAGTTTCATTCTTGTGAAGCATAAAAGTCTTTCTCCTCCTTAAGATGCCAGAACGCTAGCCTTGTTAGTGTGATTTAACAAAATTAAAAAGAGTTTTGTGGCACCTTAAAGACTAACGAATATCTTATGGCAGAAGGCATCCGGGGAAACTTTATGCCGTAATAAATCTGTTAGTGGTGAAGATGCCGCCGGATATATTTTTGTAAGAGTTACTTTTTCCGAGGTGCCCAAGGTATCTGATCTCAGACTTTATTTTGTGAGTTCAAGGACTCAAGGAAATAATGGCTTAGATCACTCAGAAGAAGGGCATTAATCAGTATTGCTACTTTGATGACTGGGGGCAAGGAACCCAAGTTTTAGTCTCAGCAGGTTAAAAAAAATCTTCAACCAGTGGTATCTGTCTATACTATCATATTGGGCCAGATCCATTAATGAAGTAGGATTTTGCACACCAGTCAATAGAGAAATCAGTGTTGTGCAACGTCTACTTCGACTACTGGGGACAAGGGACCCTTGTCACAGTCACAACAGGTAAAAAAAATCCTTCTCTTTGGGGGGTCCTTTAAAGAACAAGACCCATTAATCACTTCTAAGTAGGATTTTGTACACCTCCTAGTAGACAATTGAGTAGTGTGCTACTTCGACTACTGGGGACAAGGGACCCTCGTCACAGTCACAACAGGTAAAAAGAAAACCTTCTTTTTTGTGGTGATTTAAAGAACCAGACCCATTCACTACTTCTAAGTAGGATTTTGTACACCTCATAGTAGACAACTGAGTAGTGTGCTACTATGGATACTTTGACTACTGGGGACAAGGGACCCTCGTCACAGTCACAACAGGTAAAAATATATTTCTCTTTTGCTGCGCTGTAAATGGCCAGATCCGTTAACTAGTTCTAAGTAAGATTTTGTGCACCTCTCAGTAGCACATTGTATAGCGTGCTACTACGACTACTTTGACTATTGGGGGAAAGGGACCCTTGTCACAGTCACAACAGGTAACCATTCCTATGACTTATTTCAACCTGTAGAAAGCTGTCTTGAAATGTTTGTTCTTAACTCTTAGATTTGCCCCCAAAATCTATGTCAGCAAAGTTTCTTGATTACTTAGCTTTGGATCTCACCTATATAAAAATAAATATTAACCTCTGTTGTTATTTCAGTGAAAATGCAGACATAATTTAAAAGCAGATAATATGATTGCAGATTGCAGATATAACTTAAAAGCAGATAACGTGAAAATGTCAGATTCCATGACTATTGAATATTCAGGTTCCATATCTCAGTAAACTGTAACTTGAAATATATATATATGGTTGTACAATGTAGTCCCCAGGACTAGATATTTGAGGCCAATCTAATCTCCTTGAAATGAATAGCCTATTGCAACTTAAATCTAAGCTGAACCGGCTTTTAGAAATCATCCCGGTTTTAGCCACATCAATGCTGGAGAAAGGTCCATTGATTTTAAGTAAATCTATATAGAAATAATTTCCCATTGGAATTACTGGGGCTGACTGCTAAGCAAATAGGTTTACAATTAGGATGCAAGAACTATAGATGTAGTTTTTATTATGTCAATGTTTGTATTGAAGAAATTTAGATTACTTCCACCCCCCAACAGTACATTCAACATCCAGAAATATGTTTGGGGGACACACAACTGATAAATGGAAGAAATCATAACACTGATAGTCAAAGTGGTAAACTAGAAAATACAGAAATGTTTTTCTGCTGAGTTCATTGTCAGACTGTGTGTGGTGTTTTTTTTTTAAATTCTCTTAATATCACCTCACTGGTGGCCTGTGGTATAGCCATAGTCTTTGGTTATTGTTCACATGTCAATAGCAGAGTAATCAATGTGATTACTATGCTCGCTTTGATTATTGGGGCCAAGGGACCACGGTGACCGTGACTTCAGGTAAAGATTTTCTCCTCTCTTTCCATTGTGTGTTTCTTGTGGATTCAAATATCTAGTCTAGTCGGCAAAATTAGCAGATCTTCTTCACTATGTAAACATTTTTTGAAGCTTTTGAAAACAAGGTAGTTTTCTTAGGGTCCCCACAAACCACATTGTATGTTAGACCAAGACAATGTAATCTTTATTTTTAAAAAAGAGGGGGGGGAGTAAACTTGTTTCTCTGAGAGATAATTTACAAGGCAAGGACCACTAGACAGATGGGATCTCTAGTGTCTTGAGCTCAGGGAACAATGTTTTTAGACACCTAAGATGGGAATTAAGACCACTGTGACTACTATGCTTTCGACTACTGGGGCAAAGGAACCTTGGTGACAGTAACCAGTGGTAAGTCCAATCTCCTTGCTTAATTCTGTCTGGTGTGCTTTTTAGAATTTTGTGCAAGTTTTGGGGGGTTTTGAGAGGTTGGCAAATAGACTCTATGATAGTTCCGGCTGCTCCCTTTGACCACCTTTCTCAATCTATTTACTCCAGAATACCTACTGCCTTTAAATAAGACAAGTCTAAACTAAAAATACAGGTTTAATTGTAGATCAGTCTCATTTATGATTTAAATAGATTAATGGTGAATTTATGTCCCTTAATTCTTCATTAATATTGTATATGTCCGGACAATTGTTTCCACCTAATTTAATGCCTGTATAGGCCTGAAAACTACGATTTGAGAGATAATTTGGAGGGCTGCAAAGGATAGATATAGCCATCATTAAGTTTTTGTGCGTGGTGTAGAAAGGGATTAGACAATGTGACTATTTCTACTACTGGGGGAAAGGGACTATGGTCACCGTCACTTCAGGTAAGATTTT